ATATCCCAGGCATTTACAGCTTTCCATGTTCTGCCCTCCTGTCAGGCTCTCAACCACACTCTCTTCTCTTTCCTTCCCCTCCTTCCCCTCCGCCCTCTGCCCCCCATCGCCCTCCTCCTCGCCTCTCACTGCCGCAGATCCAAAGCTACCGAGTGTGCTGAGGATGCTACTATGGCTGCAGGGGCAGCTGGACGGCAGAGTGGCATACCCCAAGGTCACCGACCTCACCACTGCCCTCCTGCACGACCCGCCCTCGCTCTAGCCTACTTGTGAGGCGCCTCGAAAGCCTGAAAGGCCAGCTGAAACGCAGAGTGGCGCTTACCCCAAGGTCACCGCTGCCCTCTTGCACGAACCACCTGCGCTTCAGTTTCGTCTGACCCATGCTCCTTCCTCACCGCACAACGCTGGCCGATGTGCTCGCTGTATATAGTCGTGATTTGTGAGCAGGGCAGGGCATGATGTAGGGGGTCTCCCTCCCTCGATCCAGATAATGAGCAATGGATGGCTGGCTTCTTGATTGCTCAGGCGGACCATCACCGCTTCATGATTGCATTAGATTGTACCAGGTCGAGCCATCTGAATCCCCTATTGGTGACCTTCCAACGAGGAACATGTACTCGTGTTATGTATTTCTTGTCGAGGTGGTAATTATTGATACTGTACAATGGAGGTATGAGCTGTGTAAGAAGATTGGAAGCAGTGGAAATGCAATTGCTGCAAGTAAAAGGGTGACGTACCGGTAGTTATTTAGCGACAGCACAGCTTCTTGCTTGTAAAGAACATATTTACAAAATCGATAAGGAAAATTCATGTGGTATCAACATTGACTCGTTCATGCAACACGCACATCACAAACGAGTACCGGTACAAGTATTCACGAAGATGCCGACGTGCGTCATTCTGACAACGGAAATTTGCAGTTCAGGGGCTTCGCACACCACTACGATCATTTCTCGTTTGGAACGGTTGACTGAGAGATGCTACGAGGGGCTGAATTCGTGCGACACACGCACTCTTTCCTTACGTCCCGCGCTCAAGCCACTCGAGGAGAAGCACTGAGAGATGTCGTCGCACGGTAGATCCACAGTAGCATAAAGGGAATTCGCTAGGGCCACTAGCGGCGCTGCCACTCTGCGCAAGAAAACGACAGCGACTCAGGCTGGCACAAACGGCATTGCAGGGACCGGCAACTAGCGGCGCGGCTGCATTGGTCCCCCCCGCACACTGCACACACGCCCTCTTCAGCGCGCCTTCGTTGCGCCCTCTGCTGCCTTGCAGTTGGGGACGGAGTCCAGCACTTTCAGACTCCCTCTTTTTTAGATTCCACCTGAAGCTCTCGTGAAACCCAAAATTGGGTTTTCATCAGAACCCACAACCCGAAACCCAGAACCCGGGGTTGCTGTGATCGTGGGTGGCGGGCGGCATGGGCAAGCGGGAGGTGCGCGCGGGCACGAGCCCCGCGGAGCGGGAGGCGCGGATGCGCGCGGCGAGAGAAATGGCGGAGCAGCTCCCCATCTCCGCAGGTAGGGCACCCCCATGGGTGCAGGTACGGCACCCCCATGGGTGCAGGTACCCACCATCATTTTCCATTGCCCTCCAGTACCCTCACTTACTCTCCAACACCCTTCCACACCCTCCACTCGCCTCCATTCAGAACACCCTGTAAAATCCTTCACTGCACCCTAAAGGCCCTCTGCCGCTCTGCTGTCTGTGCAAACTTCGAACCTTGCTATCCTCGCAAATAGCCCTTATACAGTGCTGGAAATCTAGCTTTCATATCTCTTCCAATTGTGTCTCATCTCCCTGTAACGCGTGCACCCACCCGCCCCTGCACGGCAGTGCAGCAGCAGTTGGTGGAGGAGGTGCGGGCGGCACACACACTCGTGGTGGTGGGCGAGACCGGCAGCGGCAAGACCACTCGTGAGTCCCTCCTTCCCCCGGCCGCCCTCTCTTGCCCTCTCCTCCTCTCTTACACTTATCCTCAAGCACCCTCGTCAGTCCCTCCTCCCTGTGCCCACCCACTCCAGCCCCCCTCCCCACCTATCACCATCACAATAACCTGCTCCCACTCTACCACTCCCTCCCTCCCTCCTCCCCTTCTCCTTCCCCAGAGGGCCCCATCCTCCACTCGTTGCTCCATTCTCACACGAAACACTGCCTCACACTTGCTCACTCACCTTGCCTCCCTCTCTTTGCCATCTCCCCTTCCCTCTGTATCCCTCCCCCCCAGAGCTCCCAGCGCATTCTTTCCTCCGGCCTGCTCGCGCCACACCAAGCCATTGCCATCACACAAACGCAGTGGATGGCAGCAGTGACGTGACTCACCCACTCACTCCCCCTCTACCTCTCTCCATCTCACTCCCACTCACATGCTCTCTCACTAACTCATTCTCTCCCTCTCACTCCTCTTTTTCCTCACTCCCTCTCCCTCCCCCTCAGAGCTCCCGCAGTTCATTCTCACATCCGGCCTGCTCGCCCCACACCAAGCCATCGCCGTCACACAGCCGCGCAGAGTGGCAGCGGTGACGGTGGCGGCGCGCGTGGCGGATGAGAGGGGCGTGGGCGTGGGGCAAGAGGTGGGTTACAGCGTGCGCTTTGAGGACGTCACCAGCTCGCACACGCGCATCAAGTACCTCACTGACGGCATGCTGCTCAGGTGAGGGGTGAGGTGCTGCACCCAGTGTGGTGCGGAGCTTTGTGGCACGAAGGTCACCTCCATGTCACGTCCACCTACACCACGCGCATCAAGTACCTCACTGATGGCATGCTGCTCAGGTGAGGGGTGAGGTGGTGTTCTGTAGGGTGGTGCCTTGTAGGGCCAATGTGGTGCTTCCTAGGGCTAAGATGCTCAGGAGAGGGATAAGGTGGTGTTTTGTGGATCTGATCGAATGCTCAGGTGAAGGATGAGGTGTGGTGCATAGTAGGGCTCAGATAACCATTCAAGTCACCAGCTCCCGCACGCGCTTCAAGTACCTCACGGATGGTCCAAATTCATGTCGGGAGTAGCAGCAAACCAGAGAAAACGCTTAAGCAAAAAGGATTAAGAAAACGCTTCAAGTACCTCACGGATGGCATGCTGCTCAGGTGCGGCCTAAGATGGTGCTTAGTTAGTGGGGCTCAGGTGAATGCTCAGATGGGTGCTTTGGTAGGTCTTTGTCTGAAGCCTGTGGTCCCTTGCAACCTCTCTCGTCCTTACTGGACCTTCTTCCATGCTGCTCCAGTGGGTGATGGTGCACGAGGCTCACTCACCGATGGGTGCTGTCGTCTCTCTCTCCCCACACCCTCAATGGTGAACGCGCAGGGAGGCTCTGTTTGACCCTCTGTTGAGCCGCTATTTAGTGGTGGTGGTGGACAAGCTCACAGGTGGGTGCTGTGAGTCTCCACGGAGGCTCATAAACCGCCGCACTTACCCCCCGCCACTCCTCGTGAACCCACTCACAGGGAGGCTTTGTTGGATTCCCTGTTGAGGCACTACGGCATAGTGGTGGTGGTGGATGAGGCTGGCAGGCAAACACCCTTTCCTCTCCCCACATCCCCCTCTCCTAAACCTTCAGGGGAGGCTCTGCCGGACCCCTTGCTGAGGCGGTACGGCGTGGTGGTGGTGGAGGAGGCCCATGAGCGCACAGTGAACAGCCAGGTGCACACAAGACAAACACCCTGTTTCCACATTCCCAATGTCACAACCTTCAGGGAAGCACTTCTGGACCCGCTGTTGAGGCGGTACGGCGTGGTGGTGGTGGACGAGGCCCATGAGCGCACAGTGAATACGGACGTGCTGCTTAGGCAACACCCTTTTTCAACCTCCTTTCCCCCTTTCCACGACCTTCAGGGAGGCACTTCTGGACCCCTTGCTGAAACGCTACGACGTGGTGGTGGTGGACGAGGCCCATGAGCGCACAGTGAATACGGACGTGCTGCTTAGGCAACACCCTTTTTCAACCTCCTTTCCCCCTTTCCACGACCTTCAGGGAGGCACTTCTGGACCCCTTGCTGAAACGCTACGACGTGGTGGTGGTGGACGAGGCCCATGAGCGCACAGTGAATACGGACGTGCTGCTTAGGCAACACCCTTTTTCAACCTCCTTTCCCCCTTTCCACGACCTTCAGGGAGGCACTTCTGGACCCCTTGCTGAAACGCTACGACGTGGTGGTGGTGGACGAGGCCCATGAGCGCACAGTGAATACGGACGTGCTGCTTAGGCAACACCCTTTTTCAACCTCCTTTCCCCCTTTCCACGACCTTCAGGGAGGCACTTCTGGACCCCTTGCTGAAACGCTACGACGTGGTGGTGGTGGACGAGGCCCATGAGCGCACAGTGAATACGGACGTGCTGCTTAGGCAACACCCTTTTTCAACCTCCTTTCCCCCTTTCCACGACCTTCAGGGAGGCACTTCTGGACCCCTTGCTGAAACGCTACGACGTGGTGGTGGTGGACGAGGCCCATGAGCGCACAGTGAATACGGACGTGCTGCTTAGGCAACACCCTTTTTCAACCTCCTTTCCCCCTTTCCACGACCTTCAGGGAGGCACTTCTGGACCCCTTGCTGAAACGCTACGACGTGGTGGTGGTGGACGAGGCCCATGAGCGCACAGTGAATACGGACGTGCTGCTTAGGCAACACCCTTTTTCAACCTCCTTTCCCCCTTTCCACGACCTTCAGGGAGGCACTTCTGGACCCCTTGCTGAAACGCTACGACGTGGTGGTGGTGGACGAGGCCCATGAGCGCACAGTGAATACGGACGTGCTGCTTAGGCAACACCCTTTTTCAACCTCCTTTCCCCCTTTCCACGACCTTCAGGGAGGCACTTCTGGACCCCTTGCTGAAACGCTACGACGTGGTGGTGGTGGACGAGGCCCATGAGCGCACAGTGAATACGGACGTGCTGCTTAGGCAACACCCTTTTTCAACCTCCTTTCCCCCTTTCCACGACCTTCAGGGAGGCACTTCTGGACCCCTTGCTGAAACGCTACGACGTGGTGGTGGTGGACGAGGCCCATGAGCGCACAGTGAATACGGACGTGCTGCTTAGGCAACACCCTTTTTCAACCTCCTTTCCCCCTTTCCACGACCTTCAGGGAGGCACTTCTGGACCCCTTGCTGAAACGCTACGACGTGGTGGTGGTGGACGAGGCCCATGAGCGCACAGTGAATACGGACGTGCTGCTAGGGCTGCTGCAGCAGGTGCAGGCCCGCCGACATGCGCTCGCCACAGGGGAAGCGATAGCAGGGGCTGGTGGGCAGGGGCAGAAGGGGAAGGTGGTGGGCGGTGGGAGGGAGGCAAAGGATGGGGGCATGGAGGGGCGGAAGGGGAAGAAGAGGCGGAGGGTAGAGGAGGGCAGGGAGGGCGGGGCAGACAGAGAGGCAGACGGGCAAATCGAAGAGGCAGCCACACACACAGGCGCAGGCACAGGCATAGTCGCAGGTGCAAGCGCAAGGGCAGGCACAGGCACAGGGTCAAGCGAGGGCGAGTTGAAGCTAATAGTCATGTCGGCCACCCTGGAGTCGCGCAAGTTCCTCGACTTCTTCCCCGGCGCCCACGCAGTGTACATCCGCGGCAGGCAGCACCCCGTGCAGGTGCTCTACACTCCCGCCCCCGAGCCTGACTTCCTCGACGCGGCGCTGGTAACCGTGTTACAGATACACACGGATCACCCTATAGAGGGCGCAGCTCCAGGGCAGGCGGGGGATATTCTCGTGTTCCTCACGGGGCAGGAGGATATAGAGGCCATGGCCAGGCTGCTGCAGGAACGTGCGGCGAAGCTTCCTCCCGGCACGCCGCCGCTGGCGGTGGCGCCCATTTATGCGGCGCTGCCAGCGGAGCAGCAGATGAACGTGTTCCGCCCCGCCCCCGCTGGGTGCAGAAAGGTGCAGTGCGGTGCGGGGTGGAGGGGTGAAGTGGGGGTTAGGAGATGGGCTGTTGGTTTAGAGGTAGGGCGTGGGGTGGAAGCTTGGGCAGGGTGACGGTGACATGTAGGGACAGGGTGACAATTAGTGGCAGGGTGAACTGAAATGCATCACCTTCAGTAGATTACTGATTATGCTGCAGCTGCTCATCCTTCCCCAGCCCACTTTCAACCAAGTGATGCAGTGCCGTGTGCTCCTATCAGCTCTTTCCTCTCATCTCTGCCCATTGTCCCTCCAGCGTTCACCTTTCGACTGCTTCCACCACTCTGCTGGTTCCCCCACCCAGCATCGCACACTCCTGTCCACACCAGGCGTGTGGTGTGAAATGGAAGCAAGCCTTCCTCCTCTCCCTCTCTCTTTCCCCCCGCTCCAATCCCCTCCCTCTGCCTGCACCCAACCTCCCCCACCCTCTGCATGCCGCTCGCTCCTCTCCCCCAGGTCGTTCTAGCAACCAACATCGCCGAGACGTCAGTGACGATCCCAGGAATCCGCTTCGTGGTGGATGCAGGGCTGGTGAAGGCGCGCGCGTTCAACTGCCGCACGGGCGTGGACTCGCTGGTGGTCGTGCCCGTGTCCAAGGCACAGGCCCGCCAGAGAAGGTGCGTGGTGAAGGGGGTATGGGCGCACACAGGAGGTCGGGGGTTGGGAGGCATGGTTGCAGAGAGGAGGTAAGGGCCATGCAGTGCAGGCAGGCAGTGACTACCCGTGGACTCACTGGTGGTCGTGCCCGTGTCCAAGGCACAGGCTCGACAGAGGAGGTGTGCCATGGGGGTGTGGGTGTGGGGGGAGATGCGGGGGCCGTGCGTGGGCGGAGGGAGGGGCAGCGAATATGGATTGGAAGAGAAGGTGGGTGCATGGGGTGGAGGGGGGCACTGCATGGGGTGGAGGGGGGCACTGCATGTGGTGCCTTTCCCCCTTCTTAAGAGCCAGGCATCACTGGCAATGCCACAACCGAGTTGCTCCTGCCATTGCAACCTTGCTGCTCCCACCGCTCTACACTGTTTCTCTCCAACCGAGCATCGGCATCACCTCCCTCACACCACCCCTCCCTCCTGCCATCCTACATCTCTCGACTCTCTCCCTCCCAGTGGCCGAGCGGGCAGGGAGGCGCCAGGCAAGTGTTATCGGCAGTACACAGAAGGCACCTTTGAGGCGCTGCCAGAGGCGCCCGTGCCGGATATGCTGCGTTGCAACCTCGCCACCTTCCCTTCCATCATCCACCATCCACCATCCATCATCCCCACCATCTCTCCCTCCCACCATCCCTCCGTCGCACCACCCCTCCCGCACCCCTTTCTCCCAGTGGCCGAGCGGGCAGGGAGGCGCCGGGCAAGTGTTATCGGCTGTACACAGAAGCCACGTTCGAGGCGTTGCCAGAGGCGCCCGTGCCGGAGATGCTGCGCTGCAACCTCGCCTCTGTGGTGCTGCAACTCATCGCCCTCGGCGTCAAGGACCTGCTCTCCTTCCCCTTCCTCGACCCACCACCACAGTGAGTCGCTCGTTGCGTTCCCCCTGGACTCTTGTTGTCCAGGCTTGCAGGTGTTGGACCACCCACCCGTTCGTCCGTCCATGCTCCTGCGCTGCGGGTAACAGTGCTGTCGTGTCGTGCAGCACGAGCTAGCTAGCTTGCAACTCATGGCTCTGGGCGTGGAGGACGTGCTCTCCTTCCCCTTCCTCCACCCGCCACCACAGTGAGTGGCTACTTGTGTCTCCCCTGAAGGCCTTGCGTCCGAGCTCCTGCAGCTAGCAGCGCTGTGGTATTGCAATGCAACTCATCGCTCTCTCTGGCCTCCTCCAGTGCTCCCTCTACTAAAATCTCTGAGGCTTCTTGACCAGCACTCCCCTCCCTCCATCCGCACTTCCAGCTCCCTCCATCCGCACTACCACTCTCTCATCCTTCTTTCCTCCTTGTTGGTGCAACCCTACGGTTTGCACTCGGCTTGTTGTCCGTGTGCGTGAATGTGTGTGTGTATGGAATGGTATGAGGGCATGGGATAATATATATTTCATGCTTATAATTGTGTGTGAATGTTGAGTCATGATGTCGAGTGTGTGTGTCGAGTCAATAGCGAGTTATCGCTAGACGCGTGTTACGCGGTCGTTTGTGTCTCGCGCGCGGTTTCTATTTTGTCGTGCGCGGTTTCTATTTTGTCCTGTGTCGAACGTTCGGCGTGTCGCAGGTGTGTGGAGCAGACCCATCAAGAACTCAAGGATGAGTTTGTGATGAAGAGCCCGAGCCTTGGTGTCAAGCCTCAAGTGATTTCGAAGCTCGCCAAAAGGGTACACCTCAAGATATTGAAGATAGTTACATTACTTTGTGTAGTGTAACATTTCACTTGGTGTAGGCCCTAGTGAAGGGTAGTTTCGAGACCCTTCGTGGCTGGGGACAGTGTGGCACTGTTCCACATCACTGTACCTCGGCTCTTGGGGTTTGTAGGAGCTGGGAGTCATTCCCAACTCGTAACTCTTCCTATCTTGTGTTCTAAGACTATAGTGGCTGCCATAGTACCGTTCGTTCAAACCGACGCTGTGTCGTCAATTCTTCATCAAATCGTGCAATCTAAATTGCTAATTGTAGGCGACGTAAAGACGCTCCAGATCCAATTTGAATCAAGTCATTTGCAGCTGTGAGCAGAACGCTATCAACGTTTGAAGCCGCTGTGCAGAAATCCGTCTGTGCTCTCTATCTTTCGTTTTAGGCACATTCAAGCCTATTGTGACTATAACAAGTGGTATCAGAGCCCCTTGGAGCAGTTTCGACAATTTCTGGACCTGAGGAAAGGGGTGGCAGAGGTGCTGGTGGCAGTGGAGAAGCTCAAGCTCAAGGCCAACCCCGTGATTCAGCCATGGCGCCCATGCAACCAAGTCTTGGCCCACCTAGGGATGAGCCTAGGGTGTTTGGGCTTGACAAGTTCAACGGTGACAACTTTGCTGAATGGTCCTTCAAGATGGAGAACATCTTTGACCACTATGACCTGCTGGAGGTGATGGAAGGAACGGAGAAGCGCCCCGAGAACGACCCGGAGAAGAGCCCGTGGGTGCGGAAGAGCGCACAAGGCTATCTCTTACTTGGGCAAGCGTTGGGGAGCAGTCAGATCCGTCACATCAAGCCATTCCAGCGTGAACTAGAGAAAGGACCAAAGGCATGGGCTGCTCTCAAGGGTGTACATGCTCCTGCAACAGCGGCGGTAGCGGTGGTGTTGGAACGGCAAATGGCGGCACTACGAATTGAAGAAAACGAAGCGGTTGAAGAAGGGGTGCAGAAATTCTTCGACTTGTTGACGCGGCTTGAGGGAGCTGATTTGAACTACAGTGAGCTCCAAAAGAAGACCAAGTTGCTGGCCTTACTCCCAGAGTCATGGTCCTCGCTCATCATCAACCTTAATCGCGACTTGCCCCGCCTCTCGCTTGAAGACGTGAAGCGAGCTATCCTTCAAGAGGATTTCCGCCGCCATGAGTTGGCGAGTGCGGATGGCGCTGGGGCAGCGAGCATCGGCCGTGGATATGGTCGAGGAAGAGGCAGAGGAAGAAGAGGAGGAGGTGCAGCAAGTGAGCGAGCGTGCACCGTCACTCCCTTCCCGTACTACGAGTGCTCCACGGATTCGAGCCACAGCGCAGCAACGCCAAGGCCTTCAAGTCCCTGCAGCTGAGGAGGAAGGAAGGGGAAGAGGAGAGTTCAACCCCCTAATAGGCTGACCTATGATGCGCCGGGAAAGCAGGGCAAGACAGCCCTGGCCGGAGCGGCAATGATGGTCGGAGACGACGAGGAGAGTGACTACGAGGAGTGTGCCTTCGCGTTCTTCTCTCCGGTGGAGATGCCGGGAGAACCAGCAACTCTCAAGGAGGCTTTGGAGAGTAGTGATGCTGAGGAGTGGAAGAAGGCCATGGAGAGTGAGCTGAAGAGCATTGAGGAGAATGACACGTTTGAATTGGTGGAGCTACCGGAGGGGCGTACGGCGATAACGTCCAAGTGGCTCTTCAAAATCAAGTCGGATGCCGACGGCAAGATCGAGCACTACAAGTCTAGGCTTGTAGCCAAGGGGTACCAGCAGAAGGAGAAGGTGGACTTCAAGGAGCTGTTTGCCCCTGTGGTGAAGCCGACGACGCTGCGAACCCTATTCGCGGGAGCCGCCATCAAATGATGGGTAGTAAAGCAAATGGACATCGTAACGGCATTCCTTAACGGCATCCTTGAGGAGGAGATTTTTATGGCGCAGCCAGAGGGGTTTGATGATGGTAGTGGCAGAGTGTGGAAGCTGAAGAAGGCCCTCTATGGGCTGAAGCAGGCCCCTAGGCAATGGTACATGAAGCTGCGCGAAGTGTTGGAGGGGATCGGCTTCACTCCCTCAACGGCCGATCACTCCTTGTTCATGCTTGGCGAGGGGGAGCAGAGGAGTTTCATGGTGGTTTATGTGGATGACATCCTCATTTTCTCACCCTCTTCTGACCTTGTGAAGGAGGTGATGCTGAAGCTTCAAGACAAGTTCAAGTGCAAGGCCCTTGGTGACGTGAGCTTCTACCTTGGGCTCCACATCGAACGAGATGTGGAGAAGCGGTGCATGCGGGTGCATCAACGAAAGTACCTGGAGGCATTGGCTGCCAACTTTGGGCAGAGTGAAGGCCATGTGGCTACACCCTTTCCCTCTGGGTTCAAGTGTGTGAAGGGACCAGAGGAGGAGAGCGTTGGTGAAGAGGAGAGGCGCCGATTTCACTCGTTGGTGGGCAGCCTCATGTACGCGGCGGTAAACACCCGACCGGACGTCGCGTTTGCTACCGGGCAGCTGGCTAGGGTTGTGCAATGCCCTAATGAGGAGCAGGTAGCAGCTGGAATGAGGGTGGCCAAGTATCTTGGCCAAACACCGACCGTTGGGCTGCAATACTCGGCGGTGGCACAAAGGCGCCAAAAGGGCGCGGATGGTGTTGAACCCGGGCGTTTGTTCCTCACCGCCTACTCGGATGCTTCATATGCATCAGAACCAGAGGACATGACAAGTGTGGGAGGCTTCATATGCTGTGTTGGTGGAGGCCCAACTGCTTGGGAGAGCAAGAAGCAGGTTGACCAAGCTTTGAGCTCGGTGGAGTCCGAGTACATGGCACTCTTCCGTGCCGTACGGGAGATTGTGTGGCAGCGGCGTTTGTTGGCTGAATTGGGGGAGGAGCAGCAAGGACCTACCCCACTGTACTGTGACAGCCAGGGTGCCATTGCTCTTGCTAAGAACCCTGTGTTGCATGGACTCACGAAGCACATGAGGGTGAAGTGGCATTGGACGAGGAGCATGGTAACCGCGGGTGAAGTTGAGTTGCGCTACGTGAAGACCACGGGGCAGCCCGCTGACATGATGACCAAGAGGCTGGTGGAGCAGCAGCATTGGAAGTGTTGCAAGCTGGCTGGGATGGCTCTGAACTGAGAGAGCAACATATCCTAAGGCCAACAATCCGAGGGGGAGTTTGTTGGTGCAACCCTACGGTTTGCACTCGGCTTGTTGTCCGTGTGCGTGAATGTGTGTGTGTATGGAATGGTATGAGGGCATGGGATAATATATATTTCATGCTTATAATTGTGTGTGAATGTTGAGTCATGATGTCGAGTGTGTGTGTCGAGTCAATAGCGAGTTATCGCTAGACGCGTGTTACGCGGTCGTTTGTGTCTCGCGCGCGGTTTCTATTTTGTCGTGCGCGGTTTCTATTTTGTCCTGTGTCGAACGTTCGGCGTGTCGCAGGTGTGTGCAGCAGACCCATCAAGAACTCAAGGATGAGTTTGTGATGAAGAGCCCGAGCCTTGGTGTCAAGCCTCAAGTGATTTCGAAGCTCGCCAAAAAAGGTACACCTCAAGATATTGAAGATAGTTACATTACTTTGTGTAGTGTAACATTTCACTTGGTGTAGGCCCTAGTGAAGGGTAGTTTCGAGACCCTTCGTGGTTGGGGACAGTGTGGCACTGTTCCACATCACTGTACCTCGGCTCTTGGGGTTTGTAGGAGCTGGGAGTCATTCCCAACTCGTAACTCTTCCTATCTTGTGTTCTAAGACTATAGTGGCTGCCATAGTACCGTTCGTTCAAACCGACGCTGTGTCGTCAATTCTTCATCAAATCGTGCAATCTAAATTGCTAATTGTAGGCGACGTAAAGACGCTCCAGATCCAATTTGAATCAAGTCATTTGCAGCTGTGAGCAGAACGCTATCAACGTTTGAAGCCGCTGTGCAGAAATCCGTCTGTGCTCTCTATCTTTCGTTTTAGGCACATTCAAGCCTATTGTGACTATAACACTCCTTGCCCCTTCTCTCCCTCCTGTGCCCCCTCCCCCTTCCAGGGCGGCCATACTGCGAGCGCTGGAGCATCTGTTCTTACGGGGAGCGCTCACACCGGAGGGGCGGCTGTCGCCACAGGGGAAACACATGGCCCGCTTCCCTCTCTTCACCCCCCTTCTCTCACCCCTCTGTCCACTCTCCCCACCTTTACAGGGCGGCCATACTGCGGGCCCTGGAGCATTTGTTCTCGCTGGGAGCGCTGACACCAGAGGGGAGCCTGTCGCCACAGGGGAAACACATGGCCCGCTTCCCCCTCGACCCTGTCTTTGCCAAGGTGGGTGGGTGCGCACCAGTCGATGCCAAGGTGGGTGGGTGCGCGTTTGCAGGTGTGAGCCAATGCGGATGGGGCGGGTGCACGGCTGTCGCCACAGGGCAAACACATGGCGCGCTTCCCCCTGGACCCTGTCTTTGCCAAGGTGGGTGGGCGAGTTCATGCCGAGGTGGGTGGGCGGGTGTATATAAAGGTGGGTGGGCGGGTGTCCATGCCAAGGTGGGTGAGCGAGTGCACACTGGGGAGCACACAGCAGGCGACCAATGCGTCGTGCTTGTGCCACGGGGGAAGAGCATGCTCCTCCTCACAGCGCAGGCCATGCTCCTTCTCACCATCCGATCCTTCATCAGCAGTGCTGCTGCATGCCCAGCAGTGTGAGGAGGCCCAGCAGTGTGAGGAGGCCCAGCAGTGTGAGGAGGCCCAGCAGTGTGAGGAGGCCCAGCAGTGTGAGGAGGCCCAGCAGTGTGAGGAGGCCCAGCAGTGTGAGGAGGCCCAGCAGTGTGAGGAGGCCCAGCAGTGTGAGGAGGCCCAGCAGTGTGAGGAGGCCCAGCAGTGTGAGGAGGCCCAGCAGTGTGAGGAGGCCCAGCAGTGTGAGGAGGCCCAGCAGTGTGAGGAGGCCCAGCAGTGTGAGGAGGCCCAGCAGTGTGAGGAGGCCCAGCAGTGTGAGGAGGCCCAGCAGTATGAGGAGCTGCACCCCTCTCACTCTGCCCCCCTCCCCTCCCCCTCCTCCATGCCATACTGGATGCGTATGGCCTTGGGTCAGCACCAGTGGCAGGCGACATGGTGGTAGCATCGAGCACACGAAAGCAACCATTCCCAGTTTCCATGCTTGTTATCCACCCAGCCGTCACTGTCACTCTTTCCACTCCACCTCCCTCGCCCCCCCCATCGTCACCAGGCCATACTGGAAGCATATCGACTGGGGACAGCAGTGGTGGCGGACAGCATGTGGCAGCAGCAGGCACAACCATCCTCTGCACTCGTTATGCTCACAGCCACCATTGACCCTCGCTCCCTCCGCTTCCCCCATCGCTTCCTCCCGTTTGCAGGCCATACTGGAGGCGTACCGCCTGGGGACAGCAGGGGTGGCGGACGACATGGTGGCAGCAGTGGCCATGCTCTCTGTGGACTCACCCTTCCACACGCCCTCACATGCTGCTGCTGAGGTACTGCTGCTGCTCATGATGTACTGCTGCTGATGTGGCATGGCATAGCCGTTGCTCATGTCACATGGCCAATTTTGCGCTGACTGACATAGCTTGAACCAAGTCATCATGCTGAGATTACACGGAATCGTATATGACTTTTTGTGATTGCGTTACATGATCATTCCTCATTTCGCTTCACTTTGTTACATAATGTGTTCTCTCCCTCACAGGCTCATGCTGCCCGGAAGAGATTTTTCTGCCCGGACGGCGACCATCTCACTCTGGTGAACGTGCTGCGAGGCTATCTGGCAGCGGGCAGCGAACACACTGAGGCTGATGACATGACACGTGATGGGAGCAACAACGGCGGGAGTGGTGGTGGTGGGGTTCAGGGGTTTGGGCGGCAGGCAAAGGCGAAGGAGGGGAGGGTGCGGGCATGGTGCAAGGCACACTACCTCAATGAGCGCTCACTCAAGAAAGCAGCCGATGTTTACCGGTGAGAGTGCGGCAGATGTGTGCCAGTGAGAGTGGGGCAGATGTGTGCCAGTGAGAATGCGCAGGCACATGGATGCATGGGCCTTGATGTTCTCTTGTGTGAGGTTTACGGTCAGTATGGTTTCAAAACAAGGCACTTGTTTACCCAGGCTCATAACTGTCATGTCCCTCATTCCACTCCTCCTCTCTGCATCTCCCTCATTCCCTTCCTCCAATCTGCACGTCCCTCGCTCCTCTCCCCCTGTCTGCATGTCCCGCACTCCCGTGCCGTATTCACTGCAGGCAACTGCAAGCGTACTGTCACGGCCTCTCTCTACCTGTTGTCTCCAACTCGACTCTACCTCCGTCGTCATCAGGACTTGCAGCCACGGGCACCGCAGCAGCAGCAGCAGCGCAGCAGAGGGACGAGTCAGTTGCGTTTCGCCGGGCGCTGACAGCAGCCTTCTTTGCCAACGCTGCCAAGAAGCAAGCTGACGGCACGTACAGGTACCTGAGGGTGGGCACGTACAGGTACGTGAGGGTGGGCACGTACAGGTACCTGAGGGTGGGCACGTACAGGTACCTGAGGGTGGGCACGTACAGGTACCTGAGGGTGGGCACGTACAGGTACCTGAGGGTGGGCACGTGCAGGTACCTGAGTGTGGGCACGTGCAGGTACCTGAGTGTGGGCACGTGCAGGTACCTGAGTGTGGGCACGTGCAGGTACCTGAGTGTGGGCAACAACATCTTGGGAGGGTGGAAGGACCAGTACTTGTCGAGTGATTTCTGAGGCGCCTCAAGGACCGTGCATGTTGCGTGCGGGACCGCACAGGTGTGCGCTTGAGAATGCAGTGATAGCCTCGCGCACCCTCATGCGCACACCGCTCTCAGGTGCCATGCTCTCAGGTGCCATGCTCTCAGGTGCCATGCTCTCAGGTGCCATGCTCTCAGGTGCCATGCTCTCAGGTGCCATGCTCTCAGGTGCCATGCTCTCAGGTGCCATGCTCTCAGGTGCCATGCTCTCAGGTGCCATGCTCTCAGGTGCCATGCTCTCAGGTGCCATGCTCTCAGGTGCCATGCTCTCAGGTGCCATGCTCTCAGGTGCCATGCTCTCAGGTGCCATGCTCTCAGGTACCATGCTCTCAGATGCTCTGCTCTTCAGGCCCGCCCGGCCTTGTTATCACCACCACTTTCTGCCTGCCTTTATATTGCCCCCCTCTCTGCCTTCTCACCTGCACTGCACCCTCACCTTCCCAGGGCACTAGCAAGTGGGCAGGTGGTGGCAATTTACCCAACCTCTGCCTGCCTTCACTATTGAAGCATACCTGCATCCTCCTCTCGCCCTTCCCCCCTGTGCTCCCAATCCTCTCAGGGCACTAGCCAGCGGGCAGGTGGTGGCAATTTACCCAACCTCTGCCTGCCTTCACTATTGAAGCATACATGCATCCTCCTCTCGCCCTTCCCCCCTGTGCTCCCAATCCTCTCAGGGCACTAGCCAGCGGGCAGGTGGTGGCAATTTACCCAACCTCTGCCTGCCTTCACTATTGAAGCATACCTGCATCCTCCTCTCGCCCTTCCCCCCTGTGCTCCCAATCCTCTCAGGGCACTAGCCAGCGGGCAGGTGGTGGCAATTTACCCAACCTCTGCCTGCCTTCACTATTGAAGCATACCTGCATCCTCCTCTCGCCCTTCCCCCCTGTGCTCCCAATCCTCTCAGGGCACTAGCCAGCGGGCAGGTGGTGGCAATTTACCCAACCTCTGCCTGCCTTCACTATTGAAGCATACCTGCATCCTCCTCTCGCCCTTCCCCCCTGTGCTCCCAATCCTCTCAGGGCACTAGCCAGCGGGCAGGTGGTGGCAATTTACCCAACCTCTGCCTGCCTTCACTATTGAAGCATACCTGCATCCTCCTCTCGCCCTTCCCCCCTGTGCTCCCAATCCTCTCAGGGCACTAGCCAGCGGGCAGGTGGTGGCAATTTACCCAACCTCTGCCTGCCTTCACTATTGAAGCATACCTGCATCCTCCTCTCGCCCTTCCCCCCTGTGCTCCCAATCCTCTCAGGGCACTAGCCAGCGGGCAGGTGGTGGCAATTTACCCAACCTCTGCCTGCCTTCACTATTGAAGCATACCTGCATCCTCCTCTCGCCCTTCCCCCCTGTGCTCCCAATCCTCTCAGGGCACTAGCCAGCGGGCAGGTGGTGGCGATCCACCCATCCTCGGTTCTCTTCAGTGGCGCCGCCACCAGCAGCAGCACCATCGGCGGCAGCTTTTTAAGACGTCTCAGAAATTGTCTCCCTTCTCCCCTCCCACCCCCCCCCCCCCCCCCCCCTCACCCCCCTGCTCCCAGGGCACTAGCCAGCGGGCAGGTGGTGGCGATCCACCCATCCTCGGTTCTCTTCAGCGGCGCCGCCACCAGCAGCAGCACCATTGGTGGCAGCAGAGGGGGCGGCGGCAGCTACCGCAGCAAGAGCAGCAAGAGTGGGGGCGAGCAGCAGGCAGCACCTGCACGTGCGCATCTGCCAGACTGCATAGTGTTTAATGAAATGGTTTGCACCAACAGGCTGTATGCTCGCGGTGTCACCCGCATTGATGCCCTCTGGCTGCCTGAACTTGCACCGCAATTCTATAAAACCCATGTGTAATGAATGGCAGCACCTGCATGTGCGCATCTGCTGGACTGCATAGTGTTTAATGAAATGGTTCGCACCAACAGGCTGTATGCTCGCGGTGTCACCCGCATTGATGCCCTCTGGCTGCCTGAACTTGCACCGCAATTCTATAAAACCCATGTGTAATGAATGGCAGCACCTGCATGTGCGCATCTGCTGGACTGCATAGTGTTTAATGAAATGGTTCGCACCAACAGGCTGTATGCTCGCGGTGTTGTTGCGAATAGTGATTATTGAAGTATCACTGTGCACTCCTTACCGCAGCAATCGAATCACGCACCATCGGGAATGAAGGCGAAGGGACGGAAGAGACGCGAAGGGCCGCACGGTTACGAAAGGATCTGGACCGTCGGGCTGACAGCATCAGGCAGCAGCAGTGGCGAGGATTCTGCCCGGACAGTTTCTTAACTGTCTGGAGTCGCATGGTTGGATTTCGCTGTAATAAGGGAATGTACCCCTTAGAGTACATGGCTAGTTAGGTCGATTGGTATTCCCTTGTACTCTTATTTATAGTGCTGTATTTGCATGTTTCTATTATCTCAAGCATTTTATATCCACTCTGCTATTGAGGTCAAGGGCCCACCACTACACAACTGTGTGCAAACCTTCCTGAGGTGATCCAAGGTACGATCAACTTCTGATCGCAACATGGTATGAGAGCGACTCAGGAATCCTTTGCATCGCCACCACCAAAATCTTCGGCGAACGAAAAGTGGCGACCGGCACACGCTCACGCGTGAGAATGGCCGGAGGATCTGGTGGTCAGACGAATCTGACGGCTGAAGCGCAGACCAACCCGGCTGCGACAAGCGAGGAAACGACGACGATCGGAACCGCCGCCCTCGCACAGATGCTTCAGCGACTCACCAGCCTGGAGCAACAACTCCAGACATTGCAGAATGGCGACGCGGGAACTTCTTCCCAACCCTCTCAACCGGCCTCAAACGGCCACAACACCGCCCCGCATACCTTCTCCCTCGACACCAATGGCTCAACTCCCAAAACTCCCCGTTCCAGCGAAGAGGCAATTCTCTCTGCGCAATCAAGGTTTTTGAGTATATCAAACATAAAGACAAGTGTGTGCTTTGACGGCGAGACTTCTATACGTGGAGCTTCGAGCTGGAGCTGCTGCTGCAAAATGCGTAGATCTTCCATTATTTCGACGGGAGCTACTCGGGACCCGCTGAAGACACTGACGACGCCAAGGCAAGGTACTACAACGAGTCCCTGATGGCGTACGGAGTTCTTCTGCGAAACATGTCGCCGGCGGAGCAATTGAGCATTCGCTCATACAAGACAACGCCTGCCCCAGCCCTCGACGCTTGGCGCCACCTGAACGGCGTCTACCAACCGAAGGGCTCGATTTCGTCGAGCTGCCTACTCCAGCAGCTACTGGAGACAAGAATGGCACCAGGGGAGAAGGCCAACAGCTACATCAATCGCTGTCGGAGCTTACGCGATCAAATCGCGAAGTTGGGAAGCACGATCTATGAGGAGATCTTCGTGAACATTGTGCTTCAAGGGCTTGGCCCAGAGTGGCGGCCCTGCAAGGCGCTTCTCCGACAGCAGGGGGTCATCTCGGAGGCCGCCCTTTGCGCCGCCCTCCTCGTCGAACAACGGGATATGGACCAGCAGCGAACAGCGCCGCGACGAGATAGGGAACGCCTCGCCTTCTACGCCGACAACACAGAAGAGCGATGGCCGCGGCGCCTTTACTGCAAGATTTGCAGAAACTTCGGGCACCTGGCAGATCGATGCAAACATCGATCTAGCCCTCGTCAGACCAATCCGAGCAACTGTTTCGGACGACAAGACGCAAGGAATGACGCGCGTCCTGCTCAGGGGCATCAACCCCTCCCGCGCAACCTGAATCCAACGATTCAGCATCAGCAGCAGCAGCCACTAACTGCTCCCATTCGCAACGTCATGGGCAACATGATAATGACGAGCGGATCGCGTCGTCCCCGTGCGCGCTCACCATCACCGGATGAAGCACTTCACCCAATCGGAGCGTTTTCGAACAACAACCCGTTTAGCACGCGCCACGATTTCACTGACGACGACAACCAGGACTGGAACCTGCCAGTCTCGCTGCTCGAGAGCCCCCCACACGTACCCGATACAAGGGCGGCACCGATCGACTGGATCGCGCGCGAACAATTCGTGAAGGTTGACACACCACACATCGTTACTCCGCGACTGGCGCTGCTCGCACGTAACGACAACAGGCGCTACAACACGTGGTACCTCGATAGCTGTTGTGGGCAGCACATGGTGGGCTCTGAGCGTTACATATCCAACGCTGTCGCCACCCCCGCCGTCACCTATGTCACCGTGGCGAACAACACGCGCCTGCGCGCAAGCGCGCAAGGCATCGTTGTGCTCAAGGCACATGGGAGCAGAACGCACATCACACTGATGATGTGTTGATCGTGCAGAACCTGCGCTTCAATCTCCTCTCGGCGGTGCAACTCATGGATTGCGGAGTTGTCCTCAGCACCGACCCCGAGACGCGCGACATACTTCTCCACTTCACGATGCCGAACAAGACGCGAAAGCAAATCGGACGAGCCCACGCCGAGAACGGAGTCTACGTTCTTGATTTCGGCATTCCCGACTGCAGCGGCGACTCGCAGGAACTGATCGATCTCGTCCCCCTGCGCTTCGAACACATCCACCGCCGTGATTGGAAGCATCCTGATGGGCGCCCTGTCAAACGTTATATATGTTTATATTGTGTAGGCTATAGTGGGTTTAGCCTTAGGGGGTACAACATTGCTAGGGTTTCCTACTTGTATCACCCTGCTGCCTAGTTCACTCATCCTCGTTCAGTTCTACATTCTAACATGGTATCCGACGCCTAGGTCAGGACCTAGGACCGACGTTGGTTAGGGCCCACCGTTCCGCCGCGCCCTTGCGCGACCGTGTCTGATAGTACCTCGCGCCGTCGTGCGCCCCTACCCGCGCCGTCGAGCGCCCTTACTAGCGCCGTCGAGCGCCCCTTCTAGCGCCGTCGAGCGCCCTTACTAGCGCCGTCGAGCGCCCCTTCTAGCGCCGTCGTGCGCCCCTACCCGCGCCCTCGAGCGCCTGCCTACTCGCGCCTTGAGCGCCTGCCTACTCGCGCCCTCGAGCGCCACCCTGCCGCCCTGCCCTGCAAGCCGCGCGCGGGCCTACTCTGCACCCGCGCAGCCGCCCCTGGACCCCGAGGCGCGGCCCCTGGACCCCGCGACGCGTCGCCCTGCTCGTCGCGACGCCTCTGCGGGACCCCGGCTGTCAGAATGTTATTATTGTCTAGCCTGCAGTGGGGTACTCTATAGCGAGTACAACCCAATTAGGGTTTCCTATATGTATGCCAACTGCTGCTAGTGCAAACTCCCTTTCTTGTTCTAAACTTTCTTCTCTACAATCTGACATGCTATCAGAGCAGGTCGATCCCCTTGGGTCGATCCTGTGGGTGGGCCCGCCACCTATTTGCTTCCGCTGCTCTACTGCTGTCGCGCGCCTCGGGCGCGCTACCCTTTCTTCGTGCCGGTTTTCCTGTTTGGCGCGCGGTCCGGTTTCTTCCGGGCGCGCGGCCCGTTTTCTTCCTGGCGCG